GGTCTGAAGTTTGTTTGTGATGAAAGCGCTCGGACGTTGCATTTCAACCACTCGGTTAAAAACAAAACAAACAAACTATAAAAAAACAACTCGCTTCCAGAGCCGACTGTTACCACACACACACCTATAGTTGTCTTTATGCTCATATAACTTCACAAAAGCCCCTTCTCGTTTGTAAAGTCTCACTCTAATTGATCTATGTATGTTCAGTTCTGATCAAGTGTTGGTGACTCTCCATGGCAGTGTATCCCTCACTCTGTAGACGGATCATCAGCGCAAAGCTCACCTGGTAGTCAGACTTTTTTTTCCCAGCTCTAAAAAGTGTATGTGTATCTGAGGGTGGCCAGCTTGTCCGAAACCTCCCAGTATACCTGCTCATTTCAGATTGAACAGTCAAGCTCAAGCCGTCTCCTGCACATCTCTCCAGGTTGAGTTTGCAGAAGGAGATTGTATGTCCTGCCTTGGCTCAGTCAATTCAAAGGCAGATGTCTGCTGATGTCATAATCACTTGTGTGTAATACTTGACTAGCGTGGAACCACTGCTGAGCTGGATTGGAACCAAAAATGTAGACACATTTGGAAAACCCCGAATCAATGAGAATCACTTATAGGCACACCTGAGAGAGAAGAAGCCAAAGAGATGCTGAGGCACTAGTTACTCAAACAGACAATTCTGTGCTGCACTAGGTCAACATTATGCTGAAAACGACATGAGCCAAGGTTGACATGTATAAATGGGCTTGGACCCTGGTCATAACTGCTTTGCAGTTCTAGTTTTATTTATATTTACTTTGCATTAGTACTTACCGTCACTTCTGCTGCCTGTGTGATACGGCTGTAAGTCTAATTTCACTAAAGGAATGTTCTTAATGGATCAATAAAGTCAGATCTAACCTAATTTAATCAAATGTTTAATATCTAAACTTTGAATAGTCATCATACTCTATCTTCTAGAAGTTTTCATTATTACAGGTTATACTTTTTTTCCTTAATCACATAAACTTTTTGGCTCATTCAAAGTGTTTTTGGGTTTGACAGCTGTGAGGTTTGGAGATTGTTCTCAGCTTCAAATCAAATACTTGAACTATTTAATTTTAAACATCAATATTAAGAAAAGAGGCTTATGTTGTTTTGTTCATCATTCTTTAGGAATCATTTCAAAAACTCTTGTATCACATATCCACCCAGAGATTTCATCATTTGTTGATTTTAAATGAACAATACATCACTCAGCTTGTTGTGTTTACAGCTTGGTTTTCAAACTCCTTCATACCTCGGTGTAGTCGGACACAAAGAAGGACGTGGTTCCATCGTACTCCATGAAGTGTTTTGGAAAGAGGCGCACCCAAGTGTCATCTCCATAGAAGATGATCCTTTTCCCTGCTGTTTTGGCCTGCCATATGAGGTTGTCTTCCAACAGTGCAGGGGAATTCAGGTTCATGACCACATCAATGAAGCCTGGGATGCTGCCAGTGGTGAGAGCCTGCACAGGGAGAGGTTTATGTTAGTGGCATTCGTACATCACAGGCCAAAACCAACAAGTAAAAAGAACTCACGGTCCAGTTAAAATACTTTTTTTATATAGAAATACAGTTTATTTAAAAATTATTTAGTCTCAGGAACAAAATTGTATTACGAGTCACTTCTCATTAAAAACTGTCTCTGAAAAAGGAGTCAGAAAAGGAAATTTATAAATGCAGGATTTCCCCCAGAGCATTATACGCCTGGCGGCTCACCAGCTTTTACTGGCCCCCAACAGGCTAAGCATGCCAACGAAACCACCCACCTGCTCTATCAAACCCCACAGACAGGTTATAGGGTGGAGGTTATAAGACCATCTCCAAGCAGTTTGAATTTCCTGTGACTACAGCTACACATATTAATCAGAAATGTAAGATCCATGGGACTGTAGCCAACCTCCCTGGATGTGGCCACTGGAGGAAAACTGATGACAAATCAAAGAGACAAATAATACAAATGGTAACAAAAGAGCCCAGAAAAACTTCTAAAGAGATTAAAGGTGAACTTCAAGCTCAAGGAACATCAGTGTCAAATCAAACCATCCGTCTTTCTTTGAGCCAAAGTGGACTTAATGGGAGACGATCAAGGAGGACACCAAATCATAAAAAACCAGACTGGAATTTTCCAAACTACATGTTGACAAGACACAAAGCTTCAGGGACAATGTCCTCTGGACAGATGAGACAAAACTGAAACTTTTTGTCAAAACACATCAGCTCTATGTTCACAGATAAGAACACTGTCCTACTGTGAGACATGGAGGAGGCTCTGTTATGGTCTGGAGCTGCTTTGCTGCATCTGCAGGGGGTCTTGAATCTGTGCAGGGTACAATGAAATCTCAAGACCATCAAGGATTCTAGAGAGAAATGTGCCCAGTGTCAGAAAGCTTGGTCTCAGTCACAGGTCATGGGTCTTCAACAGGATAATGACTCAAAACAGCTAAAAACACCCAAGAATGGCTCAGAGGAAAACACTGGACTATTCTGGTGTTCGTCTTTGATCCTGACCTAAATCCTGTTGAGCATTGTTGGAAGGAGCTGAAACATGCCATCTGGAGAAGACACCCTTCAAACTTGAGAAAACTGGAGCAGTTTGTTCATGAGGAGCGGACCAAAATACTTGCTGAGAGATGAAGTCTCACTGACAGGTACAGGAATCCTTTGATTGCAGTGATCAACTCAAAAGGTTGTGAAACAAAATATTAAGTTAAGAGTTCCATCATTTCTGTCCAGGTCTGTTTTTATGAGTTTTATTTTATTCTTTAATTCTGTTGAAGCACGATTGAAGACAAATGTCTGACTTTCAGTTCTTCATTTCCATAGAAATTTTATTTAATTTCAGAGTTGTAAAGTAATCAAGTACAAATACTTTGTTCCTGTACTTAAATAGAAATTTTGGTTATCTGTACTTTACTTGAGTAATTATTTTTCAGCGTAGTTTTTACTTTTACTCCAGGGCTCTAGAGTGTGACCAATTTGGTCGCAAATGCGACCTGATTTCCTAATAGTGCGACTAAAAAAATGTCCGGTCGCACTGGTGTGACCAATCGTTCAAGGGGGAGCGGTCGCCCGCTGGAAAAAAGTTTCCATGTTCCATAAAAATAATCCAGCAGTATCAAGGGTCGCCCACCGACGGTCTCATCTCTCCTAATAACACTACGCTTTGCTCTCGGCTCCGCTCCACACCACCCGCTCACACACTGTTGTTCTATCCTCATGGGGACTTTGCATTGGCTTCCATTCATTTCCCCGTTAATTAAGCCAACCATAACCTCCCAGGTAGACTACACACCTGACCCAAACACTAACCTCACCTGGCTGTGTGTACCGGGGAAATGG